AAAACATCACATGTGTTTCAAAATATCTGTGACCATATTGTGACTGTGTCTGAATATAGGTACCCCTAAATCCACTGGTTGAGCTCGTATCTCCTATTATATTAAGCTTACAAGTATTACACGTTCATTTTTAGACACTGCCCTATTCATTGTCCCATTTCACAACCACATTAAGATGTTGCTGGACTGACAAATAAATGAATATCTTGGTGTTCAAACCCAACATGGTCAAACACAACACAACCATTTCTTTGTCGGGACCCATCATACACCCATGTTCAAAGCATCATTACCACCACCCAATCACAATAAAACAACCATTAAGAAAAAAAAACACATCATCAATCCCTTCCCATACTGAAAACAACATCAGAAACCATGGTAAACAGTATATGTACAGGGGATTTGCACATATTGGGACCCATTTAGGTTGTTTTCAATATGAGGGGAACAAGATTATCCCCAGCTTTATGAGTAATAAGTCCCATTAACTGTAGAGATGAGATATCTACTATAGACCCTATAGTTGTATCAGTTCTTCCTATCCGCAAAAAAAACAACCATTACATTGAGTCAATGAATAATCGTCAGCTATCAATGGAAAACCGGTCATATTTAGCGGAAAACTTCAAAAACATGGTTTCTGGTGAACATCGTCCCTTAAATATCCCAACTTCATCGCTGGAGACGGTTGAAAACTATGATTTTACCATGTAAAAGTATCCCATCATGTTCCCAGAAAATTCGAAAAATGATGGGATAAACCCATATTTTCTGGAAAAATCTTGGAACAATCTGGCAAAACTATGGTTTTACTATGTCACTATGTTTTTCCCAGATTTTTCCAAGATTTTCCCATGATTCCCCCATCATAAGCCCATTAAAACAGCCGAGGTGGACGAGACAAGGCCCAGGAATCAGGGCGCCTCACTGACAGCCTGGGAGCTGGTGCCTTGGGCTGGGGGAAGCCTTGGGAAAATGGAAACATTCCAATGCTTCAGCCAAAAAAAATGGTGAAGATCGAAACGTTGGGAAGATGTTGGGTAAATTCTGGTGAACACTTGAAGATCTATGGAAAATCCTGCAAAATTTGAGGTGAACATGGGAATTTCCAGTGGAATTGAATGTAGATTGTTTGGTATTTTCAGGGGATTTCATTGGTGATTTTGATTGTGCTGATTTGGAAATCTAAAAGATCCACAGAGAAAAGTAAGTGTGTGTGTGTGTGGAAATATAAGGGTTACCGTCTCAATGGTACACCCCTACAGCCTACTTTGGTTTAAGAAGACATGCAATGTGATGTCCAAAAAATCAAGACTAGAAGTTGGTTTATGTGCGCCCATCTAAATATGTACCCTCTGGTAAATTAACATAGACCCTGGCAGATAGGGGTTGGAAAATGAGTTCCCATTAAAACTAGGCTATTTTCAGGGTCTATGTTAATTTACCAGAGGGTATCCACGACAAACATCCATACACTCAACAGTTAGGCGGCACCTCATAAACCGACTCGGCTGACTGTGGGGCACAATTTTGCGGTACTCGTATTATTTGTTTTTAAACCCCCTATTGTTCATAGGTAAAGACCTACTATTGATTGCTAAACATGCCCAAAAAATGGCTGGTTAGCTCCCAGTTTCTTGGTGGGAATATCAGCTACAGATCAGATAGGTACAGTAAATCAACATACATCTAATATAGTCTAATCAACTGTAACTCAGCATTTTGTTGCTTGCTAAACCCCAGTTTTTGATGGTACATAAACTTCTCAAACTTACCCTCTTGTAACAAACATTGCAATGTCAGATCCCGCGAATTTACTTGACGATGATTTTCCCGTAACAGGCCATCTATAAAGGGGATGTCCCATTAAAACATCAATTAGTGAATTAGTGGATGATTTCCCCGTACTTTCATATTATGATTTTCCCAGCAACTTCCATTTTGTCTGGGGGATTTCCCATGAAATCCCATAGAATCTCCATTTTTTTCAGCACTTTCCCAGCATTTTCCCAGCGTAGCATGTTGGATTCGGTCAGGCCAAGCATGGAGTGAAGCACAGCGTCATCGCCGATAACGCTGGTGGTCACCTCATGAGGTGTGCAGGATCGATTCACAGATTGGTAGGCGAAGATATTCAGGAAAGTCGTTTTCTGGTTGGTGGTTAATAGTGGTTAATAGTGGTTAATAATGGTTAATAGTGGTTAATAATGGTTAATGAGATATCTGGTTGGTGGTTTCAAACATGTTTTATTTTCCATTTCATATATGGGATAATCCTTCCCATTGACTAATATTTTTCAAGATGGTTGAAACCACCAACCAGTTTTTTTTAACCCCATATGCATCATGTATGGTATATTTACCTAAAACCTACAAAACTGGGTGATTTTAGGGCAAATGTTGGTTTGCATATTCCATGGAGCATTTGGGTACCTTTAGATATGGGGTTTCATGCATTTTTCACTACCAATTCTGGGATGATTTGAAGAGGATGCTCCCAGTGAAGTTGTTTCTTTTTGAGCCATGGAGTCTACGGCAACAATATCACCAATGGGAGATTTTGACCAAGAAGTCCGGGATTTTGGAATCCTTTCCACATTCTTCAGCTGGTTAATCCTATACACAAGGGCAATGCGATGCGGCTGCCATTTAGCTAATCCAAGATCGTTCACACTCACTCGATTTCTTGTCGATCCCAATTTATTCGCAATCTTTTGCTGGTGAAGTTACTACCTTGATCGCGAAATCATTGTTAAGTCCCGAGGCCATCCTTGGCCATCCTTATCCATCCATCCTTATCCCCCATTCTGATGCCCTGTTTGACCACTACGCCTTTCGCTTGTATTCCGTATTTTTCTTGATAAATCCCAGTATATCAATATTTAGTTTGTTAAAATCATGGTTCGTCCCAATTAAATCCTATATAATGTTTGTTGGTTTATTCCCATTGAATCGCGATGTTTCTTGGATAAATCCCATTCAATCATCATGGTATATCATCGAATCCCCATTAATTCCCATTAATTTCCCATTAAATCCCATTATGTAAATTCCCATGACATCGTCGATTTCTGTTGGTTAACTTTTTTTTTGTGTAGCAAAAAAAAACATCCGTGCGCCAGGACGGGCATGGTCGACATGGTCATCACCGGGGCAGACCGGGTGACACGCAACGGGGATGCGTGCAACAAGATTGGCACATACCTCAAGGCCTGACATGGGCACATACCTCATTAATAATGGTTATATTTATAGAAGCCTTATCTCAGGTGAGTGAAATATGTAGTTTACCCAGTGCCAGATGGTTTATTTAATGGAAAATCCCTACAAAAATGGATCCCCATCTCAGGAAACCTCCATATTGGGAGATGGTGCTCTTAATACCTTTTGCATCCTATAGCATCCATAAGCATCTCAGATATTGGGAGATGCTTATGGATCAATATACCTATAACTTACAGATGCCTAGAATCCTATATAAGCTACATATAGCTACATGATTATATAGATATATAAAGACCAGGACCAGTTTTATACATAGTTTGTGAACCTCAGAAAGATGGTTGTATACGGGGCCTTCAGAACCTATGTTGATCGTAAGCAGGTTGTGGTGAACCTGATGAAACACGGCAAAAATCTGGGGAATTCCTGATGGGTTGCTTATACAACATGGTCAATAAGGGAAATCATTCCCAAATGGCCTTAATTCAGCTTAGTGAATTATTATAATTTACCCAGATATGTTTTAATATCATTTTTAATATCTGTAATTATCTGTAGTTTTGTTGGGCTTGGTGAACGAATAAAAAAAACCACCCGGGTTTAGTAGTCCCTTGTCTTGACGTTGAAAACCTGTTTGTTTTGAAGCCGAAGAGCCATGTGGCGCATTTTGTCCATGAGTAATGTCAAAACTTAAGCAGCAGCGGTGGGTCTCTAAGCCAGCCAAAGTATAGGAATATAAACAACACATGTGGACCACCCGAGAACACTTGAGATCTTGGCAGTTCACATAGAGACGGAAATAGGGGTGACCTGCTTCCTACGGGAGTCATCCCCAAAGATGGCGCATGACTTGTGGATGGCGTATTATTTGAACACTTCCACAGTCCACCAGTCGATCCGGAACCCGGCCGCTGACTTTGTCCTGCCTGATTTATGCTAGTTCTATCTCTTTCACATTACCAATTTGGGGATGGGTCAAAACCCTGGTACCTAGTGAACCCCAAAATAGCTGGTAAATGGATGTTCATCCCACTAAAAATGTATCTATAGGTATTGACCCATACCCATTTTGATGAAAGAAGGTCCTCCTAAGCTCTTGATACGCCTTGTTACTATTGTTCCACTACTTAAATTACCAACGTCGACCATGAAAACTTCCAGCTTCCAACTCGCCAGGCTTTGGCGGCCAAGGATAATGACGTTCCGTTGGGGGCCCCACTTGAGATATTTGAATCAGCTTCTGGTTGAATCCCCCAAGAGCGATCAGTTTGACGATGTTTGACTGACCTCCAAGTTAATACCCTCTGGTTATGACTAACAGTTCGCCATGGAAGCCATGGCCCTAATCGAAATAGATGGTTTACCGTTCTTAAAAATGGGTGGATCTTTCCATGGCTATGTTAAATAACCAGGTGGTAGTTATTATGGTATTGGCTGCTTGACGACTGGGATGGGGATGTACATCCAAGTACAAGTTACCTTCCCACGCCCATCAGATTACAGATCCACCTGTTCGTTGAGCTACTTATAAACCAACTTGGCGAACTATGGGGCGCCACATTGTAGCTATGAGTTTTGAGCGCAGGCTCGACGCTAGCAATTGGGACAACATACTGTACCCAACTGGGAATACTCGGCAACCAACACCGTTAGCGATCAATTGGTTAAAATACCTCCAATGACTGTTATGTTTATAGATGTTTATACCCATAATTAGTTACGTTATACCATAGTTATACCCACCTAACTATGGGTGTAACATCCCACCTAACTATGTTTATACCCACCTCTATGGTATGTTATAACATGTTACACCCATAGTTAGGTGGGATGTTCAGGAACCGAGCCGTATCCCATTCGCAACATTCCCAAACCTTCAGAAGTGAGACAGGTAACCAGACACATTTTCACCAAGATTTGGTGATTGGGAACGTGACCAAAGGCATCGGAAGCCTTTGAATAAGATTTGTTTGAACAAAAACGCGATCAGTTGGTGAACAACCCTTCCACTTCCCTACTATAAGCACTAGTTGCTATCTAGTTGCTATGGTTCCTCGATGGTTTCCCGCGGATTGATCGACACCGGGACGGTGAGTTTAGCTAAGTTGGTGGAAATCACTGCAAATATCTGTTGAGTTTACAGAATACCCTCTGGTTATGACTAACATAGCCATGGTATAGATGGCCCATAGAAATAGATGGTTTACCTATTAAAAATGGGTGGATCTTTCCATGGCGAGCTGTTAGTCATAACCAGATGGTAATTGTTGGGTTCATGGTATTTGCTATAACCAGTAGGAATAGTAACTAGAATGTGAGTTGCTAAGTTGGGTTTATAGTAGCTGCAACTCTAGCTGGATGGGATTATAACCCAACAAACATACTTGGGGGGTTTGCGGGCACGTTGTAAAATACTGTTGGCAGAATTTCCCAAGTGGTGCACCCAAAGCCAGAAGCCATCCCAAATGGCTGTATCACATTGTATGATGTTGTTGTTGCTGATGAGATTCAGCGAAATTCTCATGAAATGGTTGTTTTGTTCATATGCTTTGGTTATGCCTGAATTGTTGAGGTCTAAATCCCTATGTCCCATTTCTATGTCTTGACTCCCTAAGTGTTGGCTAGGTCACTAGTTCCATCTATTTCCTGTAACGTGCTTTGCCGTGGAAAATCACCAAGTTCGGTACATCATCCAACTAAATAGTCAGATGTATCTATATGATTCTATATGTTAGATTACTTTAAAGGCTAGTTACGGCTAGTTCCCCTGAATATTTTTATCATTTTTGTTTTCCGGATCCTGTAGTTCCTCAGCATCAAATCTGAAATCTTGGGATTTCAGGTTTTACGTGGCCCTTCCTTCCAGCACCATCGACTGGCGGATGACGGATGGAGCAAGGGCTGCCCAGTTGAGGCTCTGCGGCAAGAACAATGGGAATAAGATGGGAGTCAATAGGATACCGTGGGAATGGGAATACATAATATATATATGCAGTATATTTATAAATATATAATATATATGTGTGTGGAAATCTGCTAGAAATCAAAGATATCTACATCGGGTATACTTAAAAATCTTAAAATGAATAAAAGTCAAGACTGAAATCTTTGGTTTAGGGCTAAATGTGAACCTCATTGAGATGCTAATGGACCCATGTGTCTGAAGAATGTCTCCTAACGGAATCATATTGTACCAATCAATGGAACCACATGATGTGTCATGTGTATTCTGGGACCATCGCCAAAGCCATCTATATTTTGATGATAAGACCACCAGCGACCAAAGGAGTGGAGACCAAAAGCGCAGCTTTTCACGGCTCTTTTTCAGCTGTGCTCCATGTATAGTAACCACCAAGATGATAGGAAAGTAATTATAGTGTGTCCTTATTTGTAGGATTTGCTGTTATATTTTTTGGGGATCGGCATAGTTTCCAATGATTAAGTCACTTTTGGGCTCAATGCTAAGAAATTACTTTACTTCGAGTTATCCCCACCATGACATCTATACGTTTTGTTACTGGCAAATCTTTTGGCATTCTATCTGACATATCTTATGGCATTTTATCTGGCATATCTTCTGGCATTCTATCTGGCATACCTTCTGGCATTCCAACTGGCATATCTTCTGCAATATGTTCTGGCATATCTTCTGGCATTCTATCTGGCATATCTGATCATATCTGCTGGCATATCTTCTGACATTCTATCTGGCAAATCTTCTGGCATATGTTCTGGCAAACATTCTGGCACTTTATCTGGCATACCTTCTGGCATTCTACCTGACATTCTATCTGGCATACCTTCTGGCATTCTATCTGGCATATCTTCTGGCATTTTATCTGGCATATCTTCTGGCATTCTACCTGGCATATCTTCTGGCATATGTTCTGGCTTATCTTCTGGCACTCTATCTGGCATATCTCCTGGCATATCTTCTGACATTCTATCTGGCATTCTATCTGGCAAACCTTCTGGCGTTCTATCTGGCAAACATTCTGGCACTTTATCCGGCATACCTTCTGGCATTCTATCTGACATTCTATATGGCATACCTTCTGGCATTCTATCTGGCATATCTTCTGGCATTCTATCTGGCAAACATTCTGGCACTTTATCTATTATATCTTCTGGCATTCTTTCTGACATTCTATCTGGCGTTCTATCTGGCATATCTTCTGGCATTCTATCTGGCCGTTGAGGTCCAGCGGTGCTCACTGAGCTCGGAGGGTCCCAGGTTGAGGTCCAGCAGTGCTCACTGAGCTCGGAGGGTCCCAGGTTGAGGTCCAGCAGTGCTCACTGAGCTCGGAAGGTCCCAGGTTGAGGTCCAGCGGTGCTCACTGAGCTCGGAAGGTCCCAGGTTGAGGTCCAGCAGTGGCCACTGCGTGCGGAAGTTGGCGAAGAGCTTGGCGAAGAGTTGGCAAGGCGGAAGTAGACATGGAAGTGGATGCAAAGGTGGTGGAGGAGAAGCTGGAGGAGAGGGAGGAGGAGGAGAAGGAGGTGGAGGAGGAGGAGGAGCTGGAGGAGGAGAACAACTGTGATAAAATCTAACAACCCTCACCTGGCAGGTGGGGGAATTAATATTAAATTAATAAATAGTCCATTACAGAAGCGATACTTGGAGCACGTGGCAGTATTGCGAGGGATTTCTTGAAGAGATGCTTCGAGTGACTGTAGCTCTGACCAGTGGTCGTTCTGCCAACATTTCAATTCCGCAGTCCTCCAAAGTAGGGGACTTGAGGCTCTTGGCGCAGCAGTCTTTGGGACAAGGCTTCCTCAAGTTGGTGAGCTCACAGGGATGCATCTTAGCGGATCCGGAAGCAGTTGAGGCTGCAGGGCTTCAAGATGGTGACCAGCTCACAGCAATTGCCAGAAAGGCACATTTGGCGGCAAGTGGTCAAGCTTTTGCCCTTTGGTGCTGTGGCAGCGATGGAGTTGTCACGTGGGGCGATCCAAACGATGGTGGTGATAGTTCCGCAGTTCAAGAACAGCTGAGGAAGGTGCAGCAGGTTCAGGCAACAGATAATGCATTCGCTGCTATCCTGGAAAATGGTTCGGTCGTCACATGGGGTGATCCCGATGATGGTGGTGATAGCTCCGCAGTCCAACATCAGCTGAGGAGTGTGCAGCAGGTTCATGCCACTCGTTTTGCATTTGCTGCGATCCTGGAAGATGGCTCTGTTGTGACATGGGGCGATCCGGATAGTGGTGGTGACACCTCCGCAGTCCAAGACCAGCTGAGGAGCGTGCAGCAGGTTCAGGCCACAAGTGAAGCATTTGCTGCTATTCTGGAAGATGGCTCAGTCATTGCCTGGGGCCATCGAGATTGTGGTGGTAATAACTCCGCAGTAAAAAGTAAGCTGAGGAATGTGCAGCAGGTGCAGGCAACAAATGGTGCATTCGCTGCTATCCTGGAAGATGGCTCGGTCGTTACATGGGGACTTCCAGATTGTGGTGGTGATAGCTCCGCAGTCCAACACCAGCTGATGAATGTGCGGCAGGTTCGGGCCACAGGTGTTGCATTTGCTGCTATCCTGGAAAATGGTTCGGTCGTCACATGGGGTGATCCCAATGATGGTGGTGATAGCTCCGCAGTCCAACATCAGCTGATGAATGTGCGGCATTGGGCCACAGGTGTTGCATTTGCTGCTATCCTGGAAGATGGCTCTGTTGTTACATGGGGCGATTCAGATTACGGTGGTGATAGCTCCGCAATCCAACACCAGCTGAGGAATGTGCAGCAGGTTCAGGCCACAGGTAAGGCATTTGCTGCTATCCTGGAAGGTGGCTCCGTTGTTACATGGGGCTACCCAGATGATGGTGGTGATAGCTTCACAGTCCAAAAGCGCTTGAGGAATGTGCAGCAGGTTCGGGCCACAGGTTGGGCATTTGCTGCTATTCTGGAAGATGGCTCTGTGGTGACATGGGGCAACCCAAAAGCTGGCGGTAACAGCGCCGCAGTCCAGAATGAGCTGCAAGAGATGTAATTAGTTCCACAGTGTCCAGTGCCTTGGTGCAGACTGAGATGTCAAAATGTGGGTTCATGGAGATTTAAGCAAGAAGAACGGTGGTATTTCGTGGGATGTAGTGGGAACACATTTAGAAACATCACTTGGGAGAAACCTGAGGTACAGTATCTACAATAGGGTATACATCCGTATACTTACAATGAAGAGAAAGTAAAGACTTATACAGATCCTAGGTTTGGGGCTCGGCTCAATGTTAATCTTATTGAGATACCAATGGACCCACATGTCTCTCTTTGGTGATGTTTACAGATTTTGATCTTAACGAACTCATTTCATTACCTCTACAGGCAGGGCCCCCCAGTTGTAGGTTGGTGAAACCGGCCCATTTAATGATCGATGAACTCCCATAAATCCTGATTCAAGTGAGAAACCAACTTGCCAATATATTCTATGTATGCTATATTTACCTACATTTGGATCATGTTTTTGGAAAAATCGTGGTAAATCTTCCGTACATCCGCATTACCTAGTATATAAATCACATTAAATCACTATAAATATCGTCAACTACAACTCCATGTTGCTTACTCCACATTTTAACCCATCCCCTGATGGTAAAACCACCACTGAGAATCCGAACATGACGGAGTTTGGCACGATTTTTGGCACGATGTTGCGGTTATTTTTATGGAGGGCTTGCAGTTTCCAATGATTGGGTCACTGTTTGGGCTCAGAGATTCTTGGAGGTGCCATGGCTGCCCCAGCTGAGGCCGAAATCCCCATCGAACAGCGAGGGGATGAGGAAGTGAAATATGCGGAGGCGAGGAAACAAGCCAGGCTTCTGGATGGATCGGAATGGGGTTTGCCATACACAACTCGACTTTCGGTGAGTTTTTGGGACTAGATAGGTTTTATATGAACCAGAAGATAGACGGTTGGCCAGTGGATCAACAAATTAAATCACTATAATCCGACCCAGGCCTATCTTTTCCCGATATCAAAACTATCAAAACTCAAGTATAGGCCTTGCATGCAGGGTTGGAACAACGGAACAATGCTTAACATATTTACACACATGTAGCAGAGCTTGCCATCCACTCACAAAGGATCCTACGACTTAGAGGGGCCCTGGACCTGGAGTTAGTTAAGTAGTCAGTTACGTAGTAAATGGAATATACGTGGGATATAGTGGATTGTAATCCAGTTACTAAATAATTGGCTAATGCCATGGTTCATCCAAGTCTACATAGACCCTCTAAGTACCCATAAAAATCAGCAGTTTACCACAGTTACCCCATTCTATGATATTCTATGTACGTTTTTCATTTTTTCTCCATCATTATAGCTACTTGGAGGGTCTAGGTCTAGGTAGATGTTTGATGCATTTGTGTGTACAAGGTGCTTTTCACCCCCAATTATGTGGAAATCCTCCTATATCCTATGTTTGTTTGCTTACATATACTTAAATCATGTTAAATCATGTCAAATAATGTTTCCTCGCAAAATCCAAATGTTTGGATGAGTCAAGAATTGGTACCCTCTGGTAATAATGTTCAATGATGTTAAAGCCCTCTATGGTTTTTGTGCTAAAAAACACTGACCACATGGCAACACCCAACGGGACCCTGGTCCCGTTCTGTCCGCTGTAGAAATCATCCGGGAAATCATCCGGGTAAATGAGGACCGGGATGATATAGGGATATGATAAAACATGATAAAACCACAGTTTTTTTTGTTTTTTTTCGGTGTGTCCTTCACATGGTTTAGACACACCAAAAATGGATCAACAATTGGAGTCCTTGGACCCTTCCGATTGTACGATAGTCCGGTGTATCCAGCGCTGGTCCCAACTTGTTGGGGGCCAGCAATAGCTGATCGTTCCTGACTTCGACTAGTTACCGCTAGGATCGTTGTATTGGAAACTGATAGTGAATATAACCATATCCATATGAATGGTTATATCTATGGTTGTTTAAGTGGTTAGGATATATCCTGATAGTGAAATTTCGAAAAAGAAGTGACAACAAGAACTGTATTGGTTATGAAGCCACTTCGGAATGGACTTCCATTGATGAGCAGGGATTGCATGGAAGTAGTGAATACACACAATCCTTGGCATCCCAGAAGTCGTTCAATCTCTTAAATTCGAATGTCAACACATCCTTGTTTGCTCTAGATTTTCCCTGCAATGAACCTGGTCATCGCGCCACGTTGGGACTCTCCAAAAAGCAATTGGATGACAAGTTTACCAAGCTCCTGGCTTGTCTCAACAATTTCGAACCTGGAATTTGATGGTTTATTATCATTTATTATCAGTCTCCTACATGTGAGTGATGATTCTGTAGGTTCTTAGCTTTGGCTTCATATATATATATATAATTATATATATATTTATATATATATACGTATATATATATGGTTTTAACGGTTCTCCACACACTCTGATGTCGAACCCCAGGGCCTTTGCGAGGACGGCAAACGACGCAAGGTGCCATCTTTAAGTCAGCCAGGGACGGCCGTCTGAAGTTCACGGGTAGATTAACGGTACCTTAACCCCCTTCCCCAACACAAAAACAATGGATTCTATCCAGACATACCATGGACAAATCATCCTGAAGTCGAATTTGTGTCTTGAAACTGCGGATGCAGTTTCTTTATTTTTGTTGTAGCCTAACTTTCTCGAGTGCATGGTGAGCAGAATTTTCTATCACATATTATCACGTGCGCAGGATCAATAGTTGGATGGTTTCGCGAGGTGTTGCTGACCCCTGCAACGAGCGGTGCTGGCAATTGGGCGTGCCAGCCTGAGGGGGTCACTGTCGTTTTGTGTTCAGAGTTGATGCCAAAATTTTAGCACCCCAAAAAATATATAGCAAAGTCATTTAGATTCATTTAGCTATATTCATTTCGGTAAATTATTATGACTAGCAAGGGGAATCATCCCAATATAGCCTAATATAGCCGTATTTCAGGAGAGTGAATCATTTCAATTTATCCAGATTTTTCACTCTTGAGTGTGGGTTTGGAGATGTTACTGTTCTATACTTTTCTACTTGGTGGCTCATCCCACTTAGTAAGTGGGTTATAACCCCAGTTATAAATGGGATAAGTAGGGTTAATCCACTTATAACTGGGGTTACCCACTTACTAAGTGGGATGAGCCACCAAGTAGATGTTTCATGCCCGCATCATCCCCCGGGTGAAGGGAAGGCTTTTGGTCATGTTTTGGTACCGTAGGATGATGAAATGCCAAATGCCAAAGGTATTGTGGGGCCCAGTGATGTGAGTTAGTTGGTTTATAAACCCCATGAAAACTATAGTTGTAAGATGTTATAAGTACCATAAACCATAGTGAAATTGGAGTTATTTGCACCAACTTTGCTATCTTGGGGGCCCCACAGTGTAAGTATTGTGGATCCATTAAATCAATTCTCCAATGAGACAAGCGATCTCAAGATATCTAAATGTTTACCAGAGGGTAACCTGATTAACAGCCAAATGGGAACAGAATGCGAAGATCATCGAAGTAAATTTCCTATAGATACTATATACTGGGGATACAAATATAGATGAATATTATTTATAGTAATATAGTAATATACATATCATTTATGTATATTACTATATACTGGGGATACAAAGCAACAATAATGGGGATTTTACCCACAAGCAATCAAACGGGGCTAGCTGGGAAAACTCCCGAACTAGCCATGGAGGTTTTTCATCGCCGGGAAAAACATCGAAGTAAATTTTCGGATTTTCCAGCAAACCATGATTACCGGAGGATATTGCTTTTTCTTTTTTAATTTGTTTAGTTTGTTTTTCTGATTGATAGCTTTCAACTTGTGTTCATAAAGTCTTTACATGTCTTTACCGTCTATACCCATTATTGTAGTTATTTCAATTTCCAACGCTTGGTGGCTCAGGCTTTGCTGGTTGCTTCCAGTGTCATATGATGAACTCCACTGGGGAACCCTGGGATGGGTAGCTTTGTTCTACGAATGGGGAGATAACGTATTACATATGTGTATATGTGTATGTTAAAGATAGATAGTTAGATAAATTAGATTGATTAGATTTGTAGATACATAGATAAGATTTGAATTTAATTGGATTGAATTGGATTGAATGGAATAGATAGATAGATAGATAGATAAATAGATAGATTAGATTAGATTAAATTAGATTAGATTAGATAGATAGATAGATAGACATATATATAGATATATAGATAGATAGATAGATAGATAGATAGATTAGATAGATTAGATAGATTAGATAGATTAGATAGATAGATAGATAGATTAGATTAGATTAGATTAGAATAGATTAGATTAGATTAGATTAGATAGATAGATAGATAGATAGACAGATATATAGATAGATAGATAGATAGATAGACAGATACATAGACACATAGATACATAGATACAGATACAGACATAGATACAGACATAGATACAGACATAGATATCTTATATAACTAAGCTAAGCAGGCCATGTCAAAGAACTCCCTTTTTGCATGTGACGGTCGAGACTCCAGGTTTGATGTGACGCCCGCGCGGCTGGTGACTGGCTTAATCACAGCCTCTTGGAGGAGATGAGTCATGAAAAACAGGCCATATCTACGGGATCCAATGGAGATATAATGGGGATACCATGCAGATCTGGAGATATGGAGATATCTATTGATATAATGGTGACTGGCTTACTTACAGCCATAAGTCGGGATAGAATAGGGATATAATGGGGATATAATTGGGATATGATATGATATAACATGGGTGATATTCTTCAGGTTGAAACGAGCAGAAATCACCTGAATAGGTATTGAACCATGAACTAAAGGGATGTAAGCAATCACACATGGACATGGGTTACTTCCAAAATGAATGGGTGGTTCCCATTTTATAGATACTTTTTTATGGCCCTTCAAATCGGGAAGATACTTTCAGACTATGTTTTTTTTTTTTTTCGGCAAGACCATGTTGTACATGTGGTGATACTTACCCCTAAGTTTGGCTGCTTGACATTTGGGATTGTTGGGATCGTACCTCTTATGGATGTTCTCTTAGTTGGGAGGTGTAATCGTTTGTAATATGAATTTTCCATATTCGTGCTGTTCAGATAAAAACCAAAATTATTTCAGGGATATGAAGGGTATGGACATTATGTTGAACTTTAAAAAATCAAAAGATGTGTCTTCAAAGAACATCAACATGTGCTTTGACCGAACGTCTTTTTGCAACTGTGCTGGAAACGATGGATTTACCATAGCCACAAGGTCTTTAGAATGTGATCAGCAGGAAATCCTTTTACTGTATCCGGATTCAACAAACGCTCGATTTGAAGGAAATCTCACAGCCTTCAATCTCAATTTTGGATAGGAACCAGCACGAACAATACGTTGGAGTGACAGTGACAGCATGTTCTGTTACAGAATTCCTAGGATTTTACAGACATTTCTTGACGTTTCCCGGGGGAAAAACAACATCAAAAAAAACAGGAGTTCTCCAACCCAGGAACGAGGTCTGAGTCATCCTTCCGAAGAAGGTCTCTTGAAAACCTTCCCGGAGCAGGTCCCGCGGGCCGGTGGCTGATGGGATGTATAAAAGAAACGTGCAGAAATATGATTTGCTATGGATGAAAGGCAGATTCTCGTTTCTGGTAGGGCTTGGTGAGCGGATGTAAACATGTTTGGTGCTTTTATTTGTTGTGGGCAGTTTGATTAAACCAAAACTAACATACGTAGAGTTAAAGATAGTTAAAGTTCAATGGTTTCCTGTATGATATAAGGTGTTTCTTTGATCAACTGGGCCAACTTCTTTTTTTCGACGCTTTGAGAAACTCAGAGTCTTTTGGCTGCCAAGACTCTGATTTTCAACGGTTCTTTGATGCTGAAAACCTTGGACCTTCGGCGCCCAGGCATCGACTGGGCTTTAGCGGCCAAAAAACAGCACCGGCAGCGGCTGCGGCTGGGTTCACCAAAAAGAAGGGAAGGTCACGGAAGGATTTTTTGGTTTGTCAATGTCTGTCAAATATCTTAACAAGTTGTGAACCCCACAGTATCTCACGGTTGATCTTTCACCATGAATTGCGTGTTTTTTTTGTATTCCCCATTATTGGACAAAGGTCGATGGACACAGGGGGTTCAACCAGCGAACTTGCGGTTTGGACAAGACAATCGTTATGTGTGATCTGGATAGTTTGCAAAAACATACAAACAATTTCGTCACCATAGGAAATGGTTGATTTGAATTATAAACATAATTGCCCTCTGCTTATTTAACATAGCCATGGAAAATGACCCATTTATAGATGGTTTACCTATTAATAGCATGGTGAATCTTTCCATGGCGAGCTGTTAGTCATAAGCAGATGGTAAACTATATGAAACTATCAAACATGGCCTCAAATCCGGTCCGTGATTTGTCATAATCGATTATACAGACTCCAGGGACAACAAAAATCACATTCGACCCATTCATCAAGGTAAATATCTCTATATTTATATGATTATATATAATTATATATATATACATACATACATTATACATATATACATGGATGGTACGGGTACGGAAAGATGGACATGTGTCATGTTTTTTGGGACCCAGGCAGCTGGGAAATCCCACCATGCTTTGATGACATGTCGGGTATGCTCCCATGGTGCGGTCTGAGCCCTTTGCGGTTTAAGGACACCATAAGAATGGTATGTCCATGCGAAATGCTGCATGATACAGCATGAATCTATAGTGGTCTGTAAGCAGAACAGCACTTGCCTACATGTCAAAGCCGCGCAATTCCTTAACTCGTTGCTTCAAACAAAAAGTCATTGACAAGAATCAAGGACGGCATACATCGCTATTTAATATCACAAGGAAGCGTACATTCAGGTCGTTTCAGGTAACCATTCGCATGGTGATTGAACTGTTTCCTATACAGATCCAAGTTTCACGCATTGTTTGGAGAAGAACTGTTGGGATCGTTTTTGGACCCTCGCCTCATCACCGAAAAGTTGATCATGAATCACCAATCTGTCAATCAACATTGACCACAACCGAAAGAAACAATCACAAACATGAAATAATAATTAAAAAAATATATATATACACATAATTATACCATTTTTTTGTATATAGCTTATTGCTCGGATAGTGTTGCTCGCCATGCCCAGCCCCGCCAAACGCGCGGCCGCAACGAAAGCACCGCCGGAGGGACGGCCGAGCCCGAAAACCAACGCGTCGACGTCGACGGCCCTTGCAACGCGGCGTATGTGGCAGTCCAAGGGGTGCTGACGTGTCAGGCGTATCCTCCAAGAAAGACCGAAGAATCCCCAGAAACTCTCAGAAACCCATGGATATCATGGATTTTGGGATGAAAACGGGCTGTTTTGGAAGTGGTGTTCATACTGGGATTACTTGGTGGTTAGTACTCAGTACTATCATCTAGAAAATTCACTTAGAGCCCGCCAAATAGGGTGTGGATGATTAGTTTCCACTGAAAATTGACCGGTAGTATGTTAGTCAATTACTATACTAAAAAACAGGTGTTGCATGGTGTTGCCTATTTTGGACATAGCGATTTGACGATGTATATTAAAAGCAGTATTAAAGGCAGGTTGAAATCCTGCATAATCTTATGAAGCAGGTTATGTTTTATTGCCAAGTTATTGCCAATGCTGTAAATGTGTAACTGGATGTGTTAGGGGGAGGAAAACAGTGAAGGTCAACAGTGCAACAGTGACTCATTTTGATTAATTAATATCCAATTTCCCAGGAATGCTCTTTTTGTGAAAACAAGGTTGAACCCCCAAGCAATCCCATTCAAGCAGAATTACAACCACTATCACAATTAATGACCATACTAAAATATAATACATAGATATACACAGTATTAATCATATACCCAGCAAACCCATTCTAGCCATGAAAGATGCTCATGATATATACCATTGAAGGATGATATTCCCCATGAATCCCCAGCTCTCCAAATAGGAAATCCGGCCGCCGAGCGCTTCCATCCCTGGGCCCGAGAATGTGCGCATTGTAGCTGGGTTCAGCTGGATGGGGGCTGTTGGGGGTCGACCAGAAAAAACCGATGGGTATCCTCTGGTTGTGACTAACATAGCCATGGTATAGATGGCCCTAATCGAAATAGATGGTTTACCGTTCTTAATAGCATGGGTGGATCTTTCCATGGCGAGCTGTTAGTCATAACCAGATGGTAGATGATGGTTGAAGCCAAGAAAATAAGAAGGTCTTTGGTCGGTGATTTCATCAGTGATTTCATGGGTCGGGATGGTTGGAATGTGGGTAAATGATGATTGACGCCAAGAGATATGGGATTTACAGGAGAAGGGTATTTTGTGGTGGAATTTCATGGTGGATTTGTGTATACATCTACCCTCTCAATGGGTGATTCTAAGGGGTCGAGCTGTTACTTTGGGACATGGAAAAAACCTAACTTTGAACTGGCTTAGCCACACACTTTGTTGGTTTTACTGGTATAAAGGGTGTAGCCATGTGGGTGTTTGTTTTTTGTTTTTTAAACGTCACAACATTTGGAGGAATCACATGGAATCACCTTATTTACGGTTGGTGAATTCACTAGAATGATATGTGCCAAGTGACATCTACCGCTCCATAACGGTAGCACGCATCCATGGGGAGTTATCAACCAGAAATGGATAGGGATGAAATATCACTAGGAAACACGGGAATTGCATAGTCTATATGAGTGGTTTGGACAAAAATTAAATTCAGAGTCAACTCTTAAAGAAGACAGAGTATGTGCTGAGCAAATCTTAGTGAATAGCTTGATAATCATCGATGCGATGAGTGGTTTTTGATGTTTTGCTCCAGTTCTTTTTGTTTAAAGGATTTTCTATATACCCTCTGGTTATTTAACAGTTCGCCATGGAAAATCACCATGCTTTTAATAGGTAAACCATCTATTTCGATTAGTGCCATCTATACCATGGCTATGTTAGTCATAACCAGAGGGCAATATGTAGGAATTCAGAAGATTTATAAACCATTGCTTTGGCACCGAGCCATGGGGATTTACCGGCTCATCTTAGGAGCTGATGAGACACCACTCGCGTCGCTTGGTGGAGATGGAGATCGATGGGCGAAGTTTCAAGATTTCAACATGAAACTTGAAAGACTTGAAAGGCTCCCAACCCAATGTTTCATGTTGACAATTGTTGAAATGATTGTTTTTGATTAGAATTAATAAAATAACAACCAGTCTACATAATGATTGTTGGCGTAGCCAATGGTTTGTTTGTGAGACCCACTGGTTCTAATCCTGTTTTGTTTGTCAACATTGCGGCGTGTTACATGTGCAGATTGTGTCTTTAGTCATTATGCTTATGTGTATCATATATATAATGGGATACACTAATAGCCATTTGTTTTGTCTACAAGGTGCGAGCCTGCAAGTATACCGTCCATTGAATCAATCAAATCAATCCAACAGTCAGTGGAATTGTGAAGACCACCAGACACCTCCTGTTTTCCCCATAGATCAATGGCCATTTCAGGAACCCACAAATGGTACAGTAGCTTCATTTCAGGATCCTGAAATTCCCATTGAAAACATACCATCTGGTTATTTAACATAGCTATGGAAAATCCCTTATAAATGGAGGTTTGAATGGGAAAATCACCCATTTTCCACGGCTATGTTAAATAACCAGCGGCCAGCGGCCAGTTTTGCCTTGGAGCCAGGCATGGAGAAGCTTCTACAAGGCACAGTGGAGCAGATTCACCAGGCGCCCCACGGCTGGGCTGGGTTTGGTTTTTATGTCCCATGGCTTGGGCATTTGTTTCGCAGAAAACCAACGAAAATACGTATTTGTTGGAGATGACATATCTCCCATATTTGAGTGATGTGAAACAATTAGGACATTTACCAAGCGCTGTAAAGCAAGTTAAATATGTGATCCATACAAAATCTAAATTCTCTATTCTCATCTGTTTGGTGGTTTGGAACATGAATTTTATTTTCCATTTCATATATGGGATGTCATCCTTCCCATTGACGAAGTCCATCATTTTTCAAGATTGTTATTGCACCACCAGTCATGATATCAATCTTCAAGCATTTTAAGCGGGAAAATCAGCACATCACCCCGAATATCCCCGACTTGTATCTTCTCCAGGATGACAGGATGACCATGAGCTGCAAAAAGCCGGGTTTACTTAATCTGCGTGGTGGTTTCAAACATGTGTTAATTATTTTCCATTTTTCATATATGGGATGTCATCCTTCCCATTGACGAACTCATATTTTTCATGATGGTTATAAAACCACCAACCAGCCTTTATATACCATGGTTTCCCTATTAAATCACCATTTTCCCATGGTTTTCCCATTGTTTTTCTATGGTTTTCCTATGGTTATTGCACCACCAACCAGCAATGCTATTGCGAATGCTTCATGTTCTCAGCTCACAGCGGCAGGCTGTGAGGCAGGAGTTGGAAAGCCTTCGAGTCAAAGACATCGACGCAAGGCGGACTGTGGAGGGATGTTCGCTTGAAATGGTGACACTTTTCCATGTATACTTGGTGGCTCATCCCACTTAGTAAGTGGGTTATAACCCCAGTTATAAATGGAATAAGTAGGGTTAATCCATTTATAACTGGGTTATAACCCACTTACTAAGTGGGATGAGCCACCAAGTTTGGAGGTTTCCTGAGTCATAGGAGTACCCCTAAATCATCATCCATCTGTTGATTTATAAACCATATGAAAGCACTTGGGTGCTGCACCAGTGATTCATGAGATATCATGAGAGAGGGGGAACTCCATCAATGGGGATACACCAAAATGGATGGTTTTTTCCATGGATTATTTGAACATCGCATCAACAAATGGATGATTTCGGGGTACCCCTACGACTTAGGAAACCTCCATACTTGGTGGCTCATCCCACTTAGTAAGTGGATTATAACCCCAGTTATAAATGGGAT